AAGCTGTTGTAGAACAGTTTTGATCAAACTAAGTACTTTGTGGGTTCACCTTTTGCATGGATGACTGCTTGGACAGAACAAGGTGTCCTAGCATGCTTGTTAAGAGGATTTGGCAATATTCTTGTGGAATTTCCAGGGTTCACACTTTCTTGATTGCACACCTTAGGGCATTTGCTCCAGACGTTTGTTTGTTTTGGACCTTGTTTTCATTATTCTTTCGAGATTTTCAGTAGGATTGAGGTCAGGGCTATTTTGAAGCCAGTGTAAGGACATGACCTTCACTTTTTAAAGGTATTCTTGCAAAATTTTTTCTCTGTGGCATGGAGAACCATCGTGCATGTAAATTTTCCACCTGTGAATGTGTATGCGTATTTACTATTTGTCCCACCACAGTTCCAGATGCCTTTCACCATTCAGAATCGTTCCAGGGTCTAAAATAATATAATCCTGCTATTCCAGACTTTGAAAATGAACCTCAGATCATCGGATTTGGCGAATAAATCATTGTCTGCATTGTATACGTTGCACGTATCTTTTTCCTTGTGGTCTTCTGACATGATACTGTCGAACTACAAACTGCTGCATAGTCAAATAATCCCAAAACATCAATTTGTTCCAATGCTCTGCAGTCCAGTGCTCATTGTTTCTTGTAACGCCAATCACTTTTTTTTTCAAATCCACAGTCAGTCTTGGTTTCAGGCTGGTTTACAAGATGGGAGTTGTTAGGGGACAGTCCCCTAGCGCTGCTTACTCGGGGACTGTGCAGTCCCCTAACGCTGCTTTGTGCCCTGGGGGACTGCAAAGTAACAACCTTTGATCGTGGGATCGAAGTCAACAAGCCATCATCAGACATCAACAACATTATAATTTTCTCCCATGACTCCCATAACAAATTGACAACATGACGTGTGATTTGACTGTTGACGAAGTTTTTGGCAGTTACGATCAATGTCCTGTTTGAAAAAGTTAAAGAGTATGATAGAGCCACCCACTGTTTCTTCTCTTTCTGAAAGGTGAAGGTTTGTCGATTTGTTGATTTAGTAGAATTGACGTCATCATCATCCAGTGCCAGATCTGCGACAGACATCGGCGATCATGGTTCTCCATACATTCCTTTGCTTGGATGCTCTAAAAAAAGCGACGTTTTCCGGTTCTTTCTCTGTTACCCATTTGTTTTGGTTACCCAAGTATGTTGTTCTGGGCCTTCCCTTGCCTCGCTTGCCCTCAATTTTGCCAGTGAGAGCTAGGTGTTCAAGACCCTTATGTCTATGTATGTGTCCCAAAAACTGCATTTGTCGTTTCCTGGTTGTTTTTAACATTGAGCGTCCCACGTGGGCTTCATCAAGCACTACCTCATTGATTTCTCTTCCTTCCACGATACTCTTAGCAGTCTCCTAAGAAACCAGATTTCTGTTGCTTCTATTTTATTTTCACTGTCTTTAGTGATTGTCTAGCTTTCAAAATTGACGTAGACTACAATATTGTAATAGTTCTTACATTGTAGATCTAGATCCTACTGATACATCTAGATCTAGTAAAGTTAATTAGCATGGTGGGAGAATCTAGATCTAGAGCCAAACACTTTATTTAAGGCAAAATGGGTAATATAAACAAGAACTTTGTGGACTGGTCTTGCTATACCCTTTTTGGGATGATTCTAAAGCTGTGAACAGCCTGCGCTGCGAAAAACTACTAATTGCTCTTTGAACGTCAGAAAGTGAAAAACTTCGCCCCATGTTGGTGTATTTATTGGTCAAGAAAAATACTTTCAAACAGGCTCATTGCCTTCAAAATATCGACTGAGTGCTCTGGGAACACTCGTTCTAAGTGTACGAAACAGGAGACTAGAAATAGTGGAAGAAACTCTTCTAAAAATAAAAAAGAAGAAAATGCGATATTTTACAATAACAGATAAATTGCATGATACAGTCAAGTGGTCTTAAACATTTGGCCACGGCTGTAGTTTTGAATTGAGCACCGGTGTTATTAACTTAAACTGTACTGCACACAAATCGACTGCTAATTAAGTTTGAAACTCCGCTGTACGACATTTTGAAAAGTGACGAATGACGGGGTCTTACACAGAGATGTTTAAACGAAGACTATTACAAGTGAAAACTAGATCTAGTGGGGTTCAAAGCCATAGAAATGTTTTTAATTTCTACTGTGTATTGTGCAAGGCAATGGTGACACAAAAAAGACGAAATCTGTCTAGAAATTATAATCACAATGAATTTTTCAATAGTAGAACGCAAAAAACTTCCAAGAATTTCTCACATGAAAGAAACATGAAGTCCCCCATGGATCTAAATTTTCAGTTAGGCCTAGTGTGAAAATATGACATCACTAATTTTTCCACTCGGGATGTCAAATAGGCCTAATAATATTTACTCACAAGCTATGCAACACTAAGGAAATTTTCCATGACGTTTCCGTGTTATCTCTGAATGGGGTATTAGCTACAAAAAGAAACTGGACCATGTAACGGGCTAGGGGGAATAGGTGTACATTTTAATCTCAGACGCCTTTATTATGTTAATATTTTGGGTCACTTCATACGCGAATGTTTGTTTGTGAATGCACGAGTTTCTCTTTCTCGTTCTCTCCGCTCTCTCTCTCTCTGTCTCTCTCTGTCTCTCTGTTTCTGTCTCTCTCTCTCTCTCTGCATCTCTCTGTCTGTCTCTCTCTTTGACTCTCTCTCTCTCTCTCTCTCTCTCTCTCTCTCTCT